TACTAAGGTAATTAATAGATTCTGAGGATATTATATAAATGGAATAGAGTAGCTAAAGGTTAAACTTTGGTGGCCATTCACTGGAAAATGAGGAGAGAAATTGAGGCAATTATTAAGAATCATTATTGTATAGTAATGGCAGGCTATCATTTTGAAATTAAGCAGACCATGTTCAAATTACCTTCTGTTTATTTATGAATATTTTGAAACAAATATATCAAAAAGGTAAGTGAAATGTACCCTGAAGAAAACTTAGTTTTCGCTGCAAAAATTTTGATCTGTTGACGCACTCAGTTCAAGTGATTTTTTTCTTCAGGGCTTGTCTGTGGAATACTCACTCAGGATCTCTTTCTACTTAATTTTCTACTTGCTAATTCACTTAATTCACTGTGGAGGTTCAGACTCAGGGTGGGAAAGAAGAGGAGAGGTGAATTGCAACTGAACTTTTCTCACTTTGTGTATGTGTGTGCCTGTATGCAATGGAGATGGTGGGCTGCAATTCTGATTGACTCTAACTCTCAGATGGAGTTAGCTCAGGCAGCCCCAACTGCCTGACTCAGACTTCTAAGTCACTCAGCAAGATAAAGCAGCATGCACATATCCCTGCAAATGCGTTCAAAAGTAGTAGATAGTCATAAAAGTTGGAGTTGGTTGTATATATGCTTCACCTATATTTTTCACTCTGTGATTGAGCTCTATTTAGGTTTTTAATTCTCAAAAGTTTGAGGATGTGAGTCTCTAAAGTATGATTCTTCCAGCTGAATTTGACTACAATAAAACTTGAGAATACCTAGTGGAGTTGTTAGCCTGTCTATTGGCACGCTTGTTTTCTTAGCTGCTTTAATGGAGATAAAAGGTATATGAAAATAATCTTTGAATTTTAGGTTTTCTGAGGGCAAGTTTTTTTTTTTTTTAGCTTAAATCAGATGACCTCTAGGGTTTTATACTGCTAGAGATTTAACTTATTATTAGATTCATTGAGGACCATATGGGAAATATATATGACTTTTATTATTAAGTTGCAAATAGTGTTTTAGTTTTTCCTTTCTTTAGAATTGACTTCATGGTCTGATTCTGTCTGGCAATTAAATTATAAATGCTTTTTTTTCATCTTAAATAGCTTTAAGAACATTACAAATATTCTATCAGGTGAAACAAAGATATTAGTTTTATAACTTCAGGGAAAGTCACAGCCTGTGGTTGACTGTCAGATTTGAAAATGACCTAACATTGACATTACAAAATAAGAAGAAATAGATTTTACAATTGTCTAACATTTATCTACCCCCCCCAACAAAAAAACCCAATTATTATAATTTGAATAAGAAAAGAGAAAGAAAACTGACATGTTTTGATCACGTACCATTTATCAGGCATTCTTTAATCTGTAAAATCTCACTTTATAACCAAGGAAAAGTATTCACATGATCTGAGTATTTTACCCAAGGTCACAGAGCCAATTAATGCTCTTAAGTGGATCTGCTATCTTTTCTGTTTTGATAACAACAAAAATTCCAGTTAGTTAAAAATATAAAATTTAAGTTTTTGAATAATTATAAAAATAACTTCAGCAAAATATACAGAGTACAAGTGCTCTGAAAAAGTGCTCCTTCTTTTTTTTCTCATTTTATTCTTATGAAATACAATCCTTTTTATGTCCATCAGATAATTAAAACATTGACCATCTTGAACTTCCTTCAGATATTAGCCAGCTGGCATGTTTTCCTAGCAAAACATTTTCTGATTTGACCACGAGCTCTCTGAATCAGTTGTTATTGGTTTGAATAATAGAATATGCTGTCATGGTGGGCACCTGATCATGAAAACTGATATCTGGAGTACATTTTTATTTGGATTTAAAATGTTTTTACAATCCCAGTATAAACACTGTTAATCCAGTCAAGACCTTTTCTCACAAGATCAAGAGTTTGTGTGGTTTAACTAGTTAGAGTCAACAAAATGAGAATGAATTGTACATTTACATTAGACAAAATTTTAATTTATTTTTAACATAAAGGATGTCATATCAAAATAGTTTTAGGAATTTTTGAGATAAAACAACTTAGTTTCCAAACTCTAAATAGCTGGATTTATTTAATTTAAATACCATTTGGAAATTTTATTGTGTAATTTTTGTGAGATTGCAAAGTAAAGTACATCATTTTTGATGCAATGCTGAGAAATTACAAATCTTTCTTACATCTGGGTTATGGATTCAAGGTTTGAGAGTTACTACTTCTTTGGGTTTTTCATTGAATTAGTTTCATGAAATATAATTTTTTAAAAGATTTTATTTATTTGACAGAGCACACATGTGTGTGCACACACAAGTGGGCAGGTTGGCAGGCAGAGGGAGAGGGAGAAGCAGTCTCCCTGCTTAGAGAGGGAGCCTGATGCGTGACTTGATCCCAGGGCCCTGGGATCATCACCTGAGCTGAAAACAGACACTTTAACTGACTGAGACACCAGGTGCCCCTATAATTAATTTTTATAATTTTGATGTAACAGGTCTCTCCAAGGGACAGTAAGGATAATTTTCTTAGTTGTCTCCATATCCGTGAGTAAAAAGTTAATTATTTAAAGGCAGTTTGGACATAATTGTCTTAAATTGAGATAGTTAACTAGAAAATGTGGCTGATTTTTATAAAAGAAATATAGATTTAAAAGGGTTGGATATGTAAAAAATAGTATATTATTTGGCTCTGTTTGATTCTTTTTATTATTCTTCATTGGCTGAAGATGATGTTACAATTTTGGTTCCAGTGAATTATAGTTTTATTAAAATATCCATCCATCTTTCAGTGCAAATGATGGAAAGATCTTGGTGTTATCAGAAACTACTAACATATTAAGGAAACGTAACTGTGGAAGAGAGCAACATAATACATTCCACTAAATCACATATGGGTACTTAAAAGTATTTGTTATTCATGCTGCATTGGAAGGGAGTAGCTAGAATTTTTTACTGAATTAGGGCTAGCATTTTTTGGAGGGCACCATTATTAATATTTGGGATATTAAGTGGGAGCAGAATGCAATCAATTAAAAAAAGCCTTCAATTCAGTATGTCTGCTGACTAATATATCATGTTGATATTGAAGAAGAGAAAAACAGAACAATTTCAACTCAGTAGGAACACCCAGCAACTTAGAGAAAGAAACCATGGCTTTTTAGTACTTGTTTATAGTTTAGTGTGTCCATGAGCAGAGAAGAATCTAAATTCTCTGACCCAAGGTCTTAGTACTGATATTTTGCTTTCCCTGGAACAGTAATGAAATAAAACATGGTTTTAAAAAATTTAATTTTTATGATCATGTTTTAAGGCTAACAGTTGGAAGTGTGTGGTATATGGTAATTCACTATGGCTTTGAAAATTTTAAATAAGAGATTAAATATACGTTGGCAGCAACCTCTTCAACCTCAGCACACACAGCAACTTTTTGCTAGACACATCTTCAAAGGTAAAGGAAACAAAGGCAAAAATGAACTCTTGGGACTTCATCAAGGTAAAAAAACTTCTGCACAGCAAAGGAAACAGTCAACAAAACTAAAAGGCAACCGACATGATAGGAGAAGATATTTGCAAATGTCTTATCCGACAAAGGGCTAGTATCCAACATCCAACATCTATAAAGAACGTATCAAGCTCAACACCCAAAAACAAATAATCCAGTCAAGAAATGTGCAGAAAACATGAACAGACATTTCTCCAAAGAAGACATACACAGATAATGGCCAACAGACATGAATAAATGCTCTACATCGCTTGGCATCAGGGAAATACAAATCGAAACCACAATGAGATACCACCTCACACCAGTCAGAATGACTAAAATTAACAAGACAGGAATCAACAAATGTTGGCGAGGATGTAAAGAAAGGGGAACCCTCTTACAGTGTTGGTGGGAATGCAAGCTGGTGCAGCCACTCTGGAAAACAGTATGGAGGTTCCTCAGAAAGTTAAACATAGAACTACCCTACGATCTAGCCATTGCACTACTAGATATTTACCCCAAAGATACAAATGTAGTGATCTGAAGGGGCACCTGCACCCCAAAGTTTATAGCAGGAATGTCCACAATAGCCAAACTGTGGAAAGAGCCCAGATGTCTATCAACAGATGAATGGATAAGGAGGATGTGATACACACACACACACACACACACACGCACACACACACACACACATACACACTAGAATATTACTCAGCCATCAGAAAGGATGCAATCTTGCCATTTGCAATGATGTGGATGGAACTGGAGAGTATTATGCTAATCAAAATAAGTCAGAAACACAATTATATGTTTTTTCTTGTATAGAAAACAATATATATCTTTCTATATAGAGTATAGAAAACATAGGATCATAAGGGAAGGGATGGAAAACTGAATGGGAAATCATCAGAGACGGAGACAAACCATTAAGAGACTCTTAATTATAGGAAACAAACTGAGGGTTGCTGGAGGGGACAGGGATGGGGCATGGGGTAACTGGGTGATGGGCATTAAGGGGGGCACGTGATGTGATGAGCACTGGGTGTTATGTGCAACTGGTAAATTGTTGAACACTGCATCTGAGACTAATGTACTATATGTTGGCTAATTGAATTTAAATGAAAATACATTAGAAGAGCTGAAAGGAACTAAATATTAACAGAATCAAATGTTTCACCAATCAGTGCTACTTAAGTACAGATCACTGTCCACACATTCCTCAACTGAGTAGAAGTTTAGTGAAGAATGACTATGTATTTGCTAATTTTGTCATGCACAAACTTGCCATAGTTATCTTTTATAAAACCATCAAAATCTTTTTCTTTTATATCTGGTTTTAAAATTATTCCATAACTCAACTTGGATGTTCTCTTCAATAAGAATTTAATGTAGCCTTTTCTATTGAATTTTTGAACAAAATTCAATGTGTACTCCCATCTCAATTATAAGTAATGAATATTCTGACATCCAACTTTATCTTTTTATTTTTGGCATTGTCTCTTTCAGCACAGTGGAGAATTTACCGTTTCTCTGAGCGATGTCTTATTGACCTGGAAATACTTCCTACATGAGAAATTGAACTTATCAGTTGAAAATATGGAAGTGATTGACCATTATGAGGACATTAAGAGGACTTATGATGATTTCTTAAAGAAGAGTAATATGCTAGATCTGATTGATGTTTATAACAAATGTATTTTGATTTCTAGTTGTGAAAATGCCAACATATCCCCTGTAAGTATTTTTTTTAAATTAGTAGTGATGATTTCTTAAAGAAGAGTAATATGCTAGATCTGATTGATGTTTATAAAAAATGTATTTTGATTTCTAGTTATGAAAATGCCAACCTATCCCCTGTAAGTATTTTTTTTAATTCTATCTTAAATGAAAATTTGGCTAGATTTATTTCTATTTTAAACTATGGTGTTAGCATTTATAGTACCTTGTTAATGCTTTTGCTTTTCAGATCATGTTAGAAATAGAAAATCTAACTGCCTGAAAGTTAGCTATTATGGTAAATTTTGCTGAAATTCTGTTATTATTTGGTTGAAACAGCTTCTTACTAGATCAAAAAATTTTAACAAAGAGATCAGTTCCAAATGTGTGATTTCTTTTTGAATTTGTGCCAAGGATTGCTTTTCTATTTTACTTTCTTGGTTTAATGTGCATCTGTTCTTTGGGCATATGTTGTATTCATTATTTCAATGACTCTTTGTATGGATTAAAAATACTATTTCACTGAGATGAGGTATCTTTTGTGATGATAGTATGATGCAATAAACATGAAGTTATATACTATTCCTTTTTTTTACATGTACACATATTCATTGTTTTATTTTTTTATTGAATATAAATTTTAAAACTAATGGGATGCCATCCTTTGCAGTTTGGTTTTATATACATTAGACTTGATATATTTGGATGTGTCTAGTTTGTTTTAAAGTATTGAAATGTATTTCTTTACCTTAACGTTTGCTGGGTACCATTAAAGTAGTAGTTAAATACTGGTAATATAAATAATTGTAGATATAATTAGAAGAAAATGTTGATTGTATTTTCTAAGATATTAAAATATTTGATAAATATTTCCATCTGATACTTGGAAATCATGTTTTGGCTCCTTGTAATAGAAACCTCCACAGTAACAGTGGTTTATGAAAATGGAACTTTATTTCATTCTTTTACAAAAGGAGTCTTAAGGTAAGCCTCTGGGGCTGATGTGATAGCTCTGTGGTTATCAGATACCGAGGATTTTTTTGTCATTCTGCTCTCCCATCTTAGTTTTTGACCTCTACCCTCAAGATCATTTGTGATCCAAGATACCTGTTGGAGCTTCAGATTCCTTATCAGCATTCCTAGTATCAGGAAGTAGCAAGGGAGCACAGCACTCTCCTTTCCTTTTAAAGAGACATAGCTCTTTTGCTTCCATGTCCTTGCCCAAACCTTAGTTACATGGCACACCAAGATGTTAGGGGAGATGGAAAATAAAGTTTTTTTTTTTTTTTCTGGGTAACATGCCAGAATAAAAACAAAATCTCTGTTACTGAGGAAGAAGGGGAGAGTGGATATTGGCAGGCAGTTTGCTGTCTTGGGCTCAATGGGCTATAATGGAACCCTTTGCCCTGTTATAACTTTCTTTCCTTTCTTTTCTCGTTCTTTCTTTCTTTTCTCTTTCTTTCTTTCTTTCTTTCTTTCTTTCTTTCTTTCTTTCTTTCTTCTTTCTTTCTCTCTCTCTCTCTCTCTCTCTCTCTTTCTTTCTTTCTTTCTTTCTTTCTGATTTTATTTATTTGAGAGAGCACGAGAGAGAGCATGGGGTGGGGAGGGGCAAGAGGGAGAAGGAGAAGCAGGCTCCCTGCTGAGTGAGTGAGGGGGTTCAATGCAGGACTCTACTCAGGGCTCCCTCCCAGAGCCCTGGGATCATGACCTGAGCCAAAGGCAGACGCTTACCCAACTGAGCCACCCAGGCCCCCCTTTTGTAACCTTCTAAGACACCCAAGCATACATACAATATGGTAATGATAAGTGTGAGGGAAAATATTTTTTTTCCATTTCTCCCTACCTTATTTTATTTGCTTGTAGAAATAATTTTTGACTACTTTTCACATAGTTATTTTAGAGAGGCTATTGTAGGAACAACAAAGACAATCTTCTGATAAAGCCAATGGGAGTAAAATCTGCCTGAGGTTTTTGGACACATTATTTTCATCTTATCCTTTGCTCCTAACACTTATCGTAAACCTCTTCATTTAAGTGAATCAACCATACTATGAGATATATAGATCTACATTGGAGGGAGTTCTGTGTCTCCAAATGTCAACATGTTCTGCAGAACATCAGGAGTGGAGTGGAAGCTGCTGAGATGATAGTATGTGAAGTTGACATTTTTCTGCACTCAAAATGGAAGATTTGATCTCTCATATTTGTTTGCTCCAGGGAAATTTCCAATGAAGAAAAAGTGAGCAGGAAGACAGATCCCTAGATTGATTTCCTCAAATATGCACTAAAATAACCCTAACTTATGCTAGAAGTGTCTTTAAAGAAAACAAACAAACAAACAAGGATTTATTTATTTATTTGAGACAGAGTGGGGAGGGGCAAAGAGAGAGAATCTTCAAGCAGATACCCTACTGAGCACCAAGTCTGATGCAGGGTTTGATCCCAAAACCCGTAAGACCTAGGTTGAAACCAAGAGTCAGATGCTTCACCAAATGAGCCACCCAGGTGCCCCTGAAAATGTCTTTAAAGGTACATATGCTTATGTATCTTCGTTTCTTATTTATTATAGCCTAAATAAGGCAGGAATTACGAGGAATTAAGATAAAGGTAAGACAAGGCTGTTCTGGTAGCATGATAACTTGAACAATGCCCCTTTCCCCTGTATTTCATACATATAATTCCTCTTTTGGGGAACAAGGATGCAGGGTCTGTGGACATCTGGGAGCTTATAAAACCTTGGATTCTAACTGGAGTCCAAGTAGAAGACAGTTGGTACAGTGTACAGTTTGCTTTCTCATGAATTGAACAACTATCTGAAATCCATTGGAGACTTGGGCTGAGGAGAAGAAATATTAGATCTTAAGAAGAGCTTAGCAGCCCTCAGAAATCTGGGAACTTCTGGGGAAGGTCAACAAATACCCTCTGTGAGTGTGCCAGGATTCTTTGACTCTCAGGAAGCCAAGAAGGAGCTGAATGGGTGAGCATACTATTGGTGATCCTTCAAAGACCACAAGAAGACCTAAGACTCTCCCTTGGCTTAAGTAGATGACTGGCATCCTGTTTATTTTTCCACTGATGCTTCATAAAGACTAGAGACAATTTCAATTTCTATTGCTTCTAAAATTGCTATCACTTCAGGTACCTCAACAGTCAAGGCTATAAGCCCCAAAGAGCCAATGAAGAAAAACAACAGCCACTTAAGGAATCCCAGCAGCTACAGAAAGATGAGTTACCTCAGAAACACATGTGCCCAACAGAATAGAGCTCTTAGTGGTGAATGACAACTTGAATCCATAAAAGTAAGAAATTCAAGGATACACCTAAACATAAGACTTTCTAGGTTTAAAAAAAAAGAAGAAAAAAGGAAAGTTTTCCCAACACAACAGATGAATTCAGATACAAATTCATATTCTGAAAGTCAAATAAATATTTAAAGCACAGAGAGAAAAGTATGAAGATGAAGAAATCATGAAGGAAAAGTTAAGAAACTTGGAGATTGGATTTAACATGACAAATGATAGGATTTCCAGAGGAGAAAAAGGAACAGATGCAGAAGAGGCCATGATTAAATAAAATATTTCTTGTAACCACATTTGTTATGATAAAATTTTCCTGAGTCTGTTAGTTTAGAGTCTTTACGAAGTTCCAGGGTATATTGAAGAGAAAAGACTCATACGTAGACATCCTGGTAAAATTCCCAAACTCTTAAGGATGAAGGTAAATATAAGTTTCCTGGTGGAAAGAACAAGCTATTTAAAAATAACAAAAATTAAATAGCATGTCCTGAAAGAAGAGGGCAGTGACCTAAGGATCTCATCTTCAACAAGATAATCACTTAGCTAAGTTGAAGGATTTGTGAGGATATGCAGAAATTTGAAGAATGTCATATTCATACTTCAAGTGAAGAATTTGTGTTTTCAAAGACCATAATAATTAAACAGATGACCTGGAGAGCAGATAACTAGGGGATGGTAGTGAGCAATGAAACTTGGAGTGTATGTGTGTCAAGTTAAAATGATACAGAAATATGTACGCTAAAATGGAAGGCTTATGCTAAGGGAGATTCTGATACTGGTTTAAAGCTCATTGGATTTAGCTCATGACCTGAGTAGTTTATTGGGGAGGTGGGAGCCAGGAAGTAGGAGGCATTATCACTTTTAAATAATGATAGAAATGGATCTGATGTGAGTATAGGAACGTGAGGTAACCATTAATGGAATGGAGAAATATAGTTAATATGAGGATAAAAAGGTATATCAGTAAAATTAATGTATCACAAAAAAAAAAACCATTGTGATTTTTGTGCTTACCTCAAAAAGCTTTATGCTTTATTATCTAGAATCCTTGTCAAATTTTTAGATTTAGGAACTCCTTTGCACTCTTAAAAATTACTTAGGACTACAAGGAGATTTTGTATGAGTCATGTCTGTTACTAAAGATTAAAATTGAGATACATTTAAAGTAACAGTTATTAAAATATTGATAACAAACCTATTACATGTTAATATGAATAGTATTTTATGAATAAGTTTCCAAGAATAAATTGTGAGGCTAGTAACCCTGTTTTACATTTTTAGAAATATCTTTAATGTCATGTATGATGGAAAATAGCAGGATTCTCATGTCTGCTTCTGTTTGGTATGTTGTTTTGACTGATATATCAAGAAAATTCAGATTCACATTGGTACGTAGTTGGAAAAGGGAGAACCTCCTGGGTCCCCTGAATGGGTCTTAGGAACCTCAGGAGTCCTTGAACCATATTCAGTGAACTGATCTAGAATATTGTACTTTACATGTCATTAAACATGAAAATAGTTTTAAACCAGAGGGTAATACTATCCCATTTAAAAAAAATAACATTGTGTTTATGGAAGAATAAATCTTTGCTTTTAACATCTGTTCTGAAAACAACCACAAGTGTGAGGACTACCTGTGTTCAAAATTTGTTAAATAGTAAATTCTTTTTGAAAAAGAGACATACCAAGAAGCAGACTCTTAACTATGGAGGACAAACTACGAGAGCGGCAGGGGATAGGGAGAAACAGGTGATGAGGATTAAGGAGTGTACATCTTGTGATGAGCATGGGGTGATGTATGGAAGTGTTGAATTGCTAGATTGTACACCTGACACTAATGTAATACTATATGTTAACTATACTGGGATTATAATAAACATTTTTTTAAAAAAACAGTGATTGTCAGACACACCTTCCCAAAGGATTTTTCTGTTGAAAGATAATGACTGTGAATTATTTCATAACATCAGTTTTTTAAATATTGAAAAGTTGCACTGTAACGTCATTGGTGGTCATTAAATGTTTCTGGCTAGTATTTAGAAAATAGGTATCTAAGTTGTCCTTTGTTTTTATTTTCTTTTTTAAAGATTTTATTTATTTATTTATTTATTTATTTATTTATTTATTTATTTTATTTGAGAGAGAGAGAGAGAGAGAGAGAGAGAGAGAGCATGAGCAGGGAGAGTGGTAGAGGGAGAGGGAGAAGCAGGCTTCACACTGAACAGGGAGCCTGACAGGGCTTGGTCCCAGGAGCCCAGGATCATGACCTAAGTTGAGGGCAGATGCTTAACCGACTGAGCCACCCAGGCGCCCCCTAAGTTGTCCTTTGTAACAAAGGAGTAGAAGTCAAAACTTATTTTAAAAGAAGTAAATTCTTTTTTTAGTGAACTTGAATTTTGAGATTCAACCTATGAACAACAAAATCCTAGTCTTTCTAGTTCTTTTCTTTTTATGATTAGCTCTGAGTTCCAGCTCATCATATTAGAAGAATAGTGGCAAATGCTATTGCCTTTTAAGAAGTATATATTGGTGAATTGTTTTCATTATAATTTTGCAATCGCTGAGAGGATAATGGGTTTGCAATGTCATTAGGCGTTGTTAATTCTGTTCGTAGGTTCCCTCCAGGTTTGCTCATTAGGAATGGGGTATGCGAATACCTATGTGACCTTAGAGCCCTTAGAATAAATAATGTGGAGATGTTCAGTGCTGTGCCAGGGTGAAGGCAAATATCTCTTTATAATTATTTTTTATGGAAATTCTTATTTTGCTTGAAATATGCTGTTAGGACACTAGGTTTATTTATATATAAGTCCAAGATGAAGCATTTATTATGTGCCTTAGGTAAGCCCTTTGTCTTTAATTTTCTTCTATAAAGATAAAAGGCTTAGATTAAATTTCCATGGTTATCTTTTAACTCTCAACTTGTAAACTCTTTGAGTATGGCCATTGGAAACGGCAGCATTTTGTTAGAAAGTTTAATTCCATGTACACTTACTGTCAACAAAGATCGGGTAATAAAACCGTACACGGGATGACACCATGTAGAGCTTGGTGTGAAATAGTACTTATAGTTGGCATAGCACTGTATTATTAGTAACCTTCTATGTTTTCTACAGAGTCAACTACGGGATTTTCTGTCTGGGAGACAGTATGAAGTAGCTGATGAAACTGATCTTTATGTACCAACATCACCAGTGAGTAAACACAACCAGGACAATGAAAAGGTACTGATAAATTATGAGTAAATTAAAGTAGGGTATGATCCTCTTCAAATCACTATAATTTGATTGTACATTACAGTTATTTTGTTAATTTTTAAAAGTTTTTGTTTAAATAAAACTGTATTTGCAAAGAATAATACATTAGAGACTGGTAAGAGCCTAATAGTTTGTTCCTGGTTTTGGGCCAAGGTAATAGGCACTGTGTAAAAATAGTTATCACTCTTCCTTTTTTTTTTTTTTTTTTAAAGATTTTATTTATTTGAGAGAGAATATGAGAGAGATCACAAGCAGCATGGAGGGGTAGAGGAAAAGAAAGGCAGACTCCCCGCTGAACAAGGGGGCCTGATCCAGGGCCCAATCCCAAGACCTGGGATCATGACCTGAGCCGAAGGCAGATGCTTAACCAACTGGGCCACCCAGGCGCCCAGGTATCACTCTTAAGTCTCTGAAAAGTAGTTGGAAGGTCTAGGTTGCCAGAGTTCTTTGAATCTTTGTATTTGGTAAAGTCACTTATGGTTTTAAATGAATGATTCTTGGGAGGATATGTACAATTGAAAAATCTGTTCTGTCCCCTTTATAGTAGATAACTTATTCATCACAAATTGTGATAATAGAGTTTGTTGTGCAAACGAACCATAGAAAACGAACCACAGGTTTGGTCTAATATACTTTACCTTCAGTTAAATACTATGCTAGATACCTAATTAAATATAGTAACCCCTCTCATAACCATGAGAGTTATGTTTATAGAAGTTTCTATGGTAAATAAAATCATTATTGATAAGATAAAAAATAAGGATGTTGAAAGAAGTAGTAAAATTACATTCAACATATCAAAATCCATCCTCTTCATTCAATTTGATGAATTATCTTCTTCATTGTTTTAGGAACTGTTGCTAAGGCAGATTCTCCCATAAGTCCTGTGCCAAACAGATAACACTTTAAAAAAAATTTGTTTGTCACTGGCCTCAAATAAATATCTGTGCATTTACTTCCTAGACTTACTAATGTGCTTGAACATCTGCATCTAATATTTTTTCTGCTGTATTTGAAAGTTAAGTTTCTGACATCATGACACTTAATGCCTAAAGTCCTTCAGCATATCATTTCCTGAGAATAAAAGCATAATCATAATATTAACATATATAAGAAAACTTAAGTATTCTCTAATATCATTTACTGTCTACCCTATTCAGATTTCTCCATTTGTCCCTCAAATGGTTTTATATTTCTTTAGACTCTTAATCTAGAAGTATTCCCCTCCATCTTTTTCTCTTATTTATCTGTTTAATTTCTCCTGGTATTATTTATCTTGTTCCTGTATTTCCGGTAAACTGGAATTTTTTTTTATTTTTTTTTATTTTTTATTTTTTTTAAACTGGAATTTTTATTCAAAAGCTTGCTTGGGGGCACCTGGGTGGCTTAGTGGTTGAGCGACTGTCTATCTTTGGCTCAGGGCATGATCCCAGGGTCCTGGGATCGAGTCCCACATCGGGCTGCCTGTGGGGAGCCTGCTTCTCCCTCTGCCTATGTCTCTGCCTCTCTCTCTGTGTCTCTCATGAATAAATAAATAAAATCTTTAAAAAACACACACACACACACAAAAGCTTGCTTAGATTGAGGTTTAATGTTCGTAACATTGTGGTGGAGACACAAACTCAAGTTGTCCCAAATTGGCAGATATCTAGGATATAGATGTCATTTTCCCTTTGCTATGAGTAGAGATCTGTGGGGTGACACTGTGTAAATATCCTGTCCCCCAGCAACCTTTCACCTACTGGTTTTACACATGTGTTCATGATCGTTTTCTGAATCAATTATTTCTTTACTGTTTGCAGAATGGTGAGTTTCTAACTTTGTCCTATCTTTATTTTAATTTGCTGCCATTTCTCAGTAAAGCAGAGCTTGATAAGATAAAGCTATTTAGGGAAAGAGTTCCCAAAAATGGCAGAGTCACAACCTAATTCTCTTTCATTATCAGTTTAGCAGTTGGTATAATATTTATAAGATGGAATGCAAATTAGATTTTTTCCTATTTATCTTCTTTATTATGTGTGTATTTATTACCACGGAATGATGAATTTTTATTTATTCAGTTTTAAAATTAATTATACTTATTAATCTTTGATGCTAAAATGGAGGGATTCCCTTCAAGCTGGCTTCTGTGTCTTTTTTACATCTCCTATTAGACTTCTGAGCACTTCCCTTTTTTCTGGTACAAGAGAATATTTCAAGCCCATTTTTTTTTTAGAGATTTTATTTATTTATTCATGAGAGAGAGAGAGAGGCAGAGACACAGGCAGAGGAAGAGGCAGGCTCCATGCAGGGAGCCCGAAGTGGGACTTGATCCCGGGTCTCCAGGATCACGCCCTGGTCAAGCCCATCTTTGAATGTTTTCTGCCCAGATATGATTCTTTTAGTGATTTTAACTATTTTCTCTTGCTTGAAATTAATTTTTCATTTACATTGTTTCCTTCCTCTTTTCCTTCTTTCCTCCTCCTACTGATAAAATGTTCACCAAATGCCTGGTCTTTCCTCATTGGTACTTGAGTACATTCATTTACCCCCAGAGTAGATCACTTGCAAATCTCCTCTATGATTTATCTTATAGGATCTACAAGGAGGAAATAATAATTGTTATTGTGCCTTTTAATTAAGAGAAATAAACTGATTTGTACATATATAAAGTACCTAAGCATTTATAACTTTGGCTTACAGGTATAAAATGTTGAAGGGACATCCATGAGAAAAGAGTATAGCATATAGAAACTAATGCATCTGCACTGCAGGCATATAGTTTTCTCATTTAAAAAAAAACAGTGATAGTTTCATTGTGTGAATCCTCCACTTTTCTCTTGCCTTCCTAGGTTGTTTTCTGAGTATTTTGTCTACTAGTTAGCTGATAGATTAGGTTTTATGCGGACTTTTACAGTAGCAGCTATCCTCTCAACTATTCTTCTGTTATTTGCAGACTTCTAATATTTTCTTTTTGCAAAGTATTTTTGGAAGGCAATATATTTCTATTAAAATTCCAAAGTGACTTTTTGGGCTGAAGTCTTATATAGATATATTTTGATCACAAAATGTACCTTACTAATGCCACACCAGAGTCATCAAGTAGATGAATGGCATGAATTTGAGAAATGATACTTTTGTTTCCTTATTTTATTTTTCCTAAGGTTCTAAACTGCTTTAGAAATTCTGAAGTAAAGAGGGGGAAAATGGAGTAAAGGCCCAAAAAGAAAATCATCAGTTACATAAAAAATTCTATCAATATATTAGTGCTAGTGCAACTTTTTTTTTGTCATTATATGTAAGAATTTGTGCGTTGACAAAGAAAGTAAAAAATACCTGTAGAAATTGTTAATCTCAATCTAGAAAAATGGACTTTGTTCAAATTGTGATTGAATATCTGCATTTCAGTAATAATTAAGGATAAGAAAAGAAACTTGGAATTGCCAGAAAGCTTAAATAAAATTGTTCAACTTCTAAACAAACATTGCAAATACTTTGTGGTATGGATTGAATCAGTTTATTAAATAAACAGAACATTATCTTTATTTTTGGTATCTTGGTGAAAGCTTCAATCTTGTGGATTTTTTCAATTTAGGCCCTTGCTTCTGGACATCATAACTGTATTTATGTGGAGTGCTTTTCCAGAGAGCCTCTTTAAAACACACTTGCAAATACAAGAGCAGGGAAACCATAACTGCCATGTTATATGACCATAATGATAGGGATAGATTTCCAATTGCAGCCATGAGTTAAAAGAAACACTTTTGTTTCTTGGAGTGAGGACTCCAAGATGTTTTTCCCTGATGTTTGTCTAGTGTCATAGATTAGAAGGGCAGAATTGGTTAGCCCTTAAAGAGCAAGTTGTAGATGTGGAGGTTTAAGCCCCAGTTTGTACCCAGTAAGGATCAGATACATACATTTTGGTAATTCTCATTTTTGGACATCAGAAGCACAGTGAAACAGGGATTGAATGAAATTAAAAGTAGAAAGAGTAAAAAAGTTTGATTGCAGTGTGAATATCACATTTTCTCTGCTTTGATTTTTCACAAAATACGTTACTCTTGAAATGTGAAGGGATAAGATAAAGAGATTCATATGTTTCAGACTGTTGCACTGTGAGGTTAAAATGGAAACTTTTGTATTAGAGATTCACATGAAATATTATAATTTACACTGAAAGTAAAGAATGCTTGAAATATAAGCAGAAAACTATGTTATGACTTAAGTTATAAAATTTTAGGATGGATCCTAAAGATTTTAATTTAGTTGTACCTTGGAGCAATTTTCTTTTTAAGGCAATGTAATATAAATATGTGAGTGCTTAACTTGATCCCAAGTAATTTTTTATAAATGGTTTTCATTTTGAAATATCTAAAATGGCCAAATACGTGTATTAAGTTTTTTTCATTTATCATTGAACACAAATTAATTGAGAACCTAATAACAAAATGAATTGATTACCTACTAAAGTGTCAGTCATTCTTTTAGGCTGTAACAATACACTAGTTGCTCTCCTGGAACTCATGAAGTAGTAGAAAGATTAAGAAAATACACAGCATTGGAAAGATCTATGCAGGGAATTACAATTGATATGCATCGAGATGATAAGATTATAAGAAAGGGAGTACATGAATTCTACACTGGGATATCATGGGGCCTCTCTGCAAAGATAACATTTGTCCTATATGTTTAATATTCAAGAAAAAAAATTTTTTCGTAGGGCTAAAAGTAAAGCTTTTTTTGAAAAAAATCAATTTTGCCTAAATTTTGAGTCCATATTTAAGGTAACCTTTTCCTGTCCAGTAAAGTTTTTTTAAATTGATCCTGATTGCCTCTCATGTTTCAAGACTTGTTTTTCATAAGAAATTTAAATAACTGAAAAGCATGTTACCTTTAAAAGTGCTTTTAATGCATGTGTGAACTTGAGACCTCCTTAATAATTGTTTCAGAGACTTCCTAATAATTTGTAATTTCTTTTGATTTGTAATTTTTTTGCTATCTTTTAAAGCTCTCTTTTATGCTTCCTAATTTAAAATTGATTAAACAGAGTATGAAAAAAATTTAGGAAAATATTTTCTTAGTTTACAGATGATAAATTATGGAGTCTTTAGCTAAGTTGTCAGTCACTGAAGGACTTAATGAATTTCATGTTTTGAGAAGGAATTGAGTATAGAATTTGTGGAGTCCATCTTTCTAAGGGAATAGGCAAGGAGAGGATTTCAGGTAAATATGTGGGAACGACATTTAAGAATTAGATACAAACAAGATTCCAGAACAAGAAGATGGAGTGGAAGGAGTTGAGAAGGTGAGGAGAATTCCATAAAAATAATTTAATTTTGATGAAATCCAATTTGTCAGTTTTTTCCTATTGTCAATTGTGCTTTTGGTGTCATGTGTAATAATTCTACCTAATTCCAAGTCATAAAGATTTTTTTCTTAGGTTTTCTTCTTAAGTTTTACAGTTTTATACTGTACATTTATACCTATGATCTGCTTTGAGTTAATGTTTATAAAAAGTGTGAGGTTGGGGTGCCTGGTTGGCTCAGTTAGTTAAGCATCTGACTTTGGCTCTGGTCATGATCCCAGGGTCCTGGGGTGGAGCCCTACATTGAGCTCCTTGCTTAGCGGAGAACCTGCTTCTCTCCCTCCCTCTGTTCCTCCCCCTGCTTTTGTGCTCTCTCTCTTTCTCTCTCTCTCTCAACCCCCCTCAAATAAATAAGTAAAATCTTAAAAAAAAAATGTGAGATTTAGGTGTGTTTCATTTGTTTTGCATATGGCTGACCAATTGCTCCCACACAACTATTGAGAAGTTGTCCTTCCTCTGTTGTTTCTTTTGCACCTATGTCAAAAATCAAATGGCCATATCTGCGTTAGATCTTTGTGAACTTTGTTTCATTGATTTGAATGTCCCTTCATAAATACTATATTATCGTGATTATTGTAATTTAAGATAATTTTTCAACATATTTAATATGTTGCTCCAATGTCTTCTGGCTTACTTTTTGATGGTCTGTTAACCTTGTCATTGTTCCCATTATGTAATGTGTCATTTTGTTCTGGTTCTGGTTCTTTTGTTGTCAAGATTTTTTCTCATCTTTGACTGTCAGAGTTTAATTATACCACAGGAATGTTATTCTTTGTATTTTTCCTACTTGAATAGCTTCTTAGATCTATAAATTAATGTTTTCTACCAAATTTGGGTTGCTTTTGGCCATAATTTAATGAAATATTTTTTTCTGCTTCTGCAGGGATTCTAAGTACATGCCCCACAGAGCTCTATGGCTTTATTTTATTTTTTTTTCTTCTTTTGTTTTTCTGCTTTGGTGATTTCTATTTATATATTTGTAAGGTCACTGATAGTTTTCTTCCACCTTCTCCAAGTTGTTGTTGAGCTCACCTAGCAAATTTTGTTTTGGTCATTGTACTTTTCATTTTTAGAATTTACTTTCTTTATAGTGTTCACTTTGCTGTTGTCATTTCCACTGTTAATTCATTGATAATATTTTCTTAATTCATTGAACGTATTTTGTTTGGGTTCTTTGAATATATTTGTACCAGCCACCTCAGTGTTTTGCTGCTAATTCTAACATCTAAGTCCATTTGATGTTAATTTTTATTGACTGCTTTTTATCCTAAGAAAGGGTCACACTTTCCTTTTATTAAATTGTCCAGTAATTTTTAGATGAAAACTAAACATTACAGATAATATTTTATAGTGATTCTGGGTTTTGTCATGTTCTTCTGAGGACAACTGAGTTTTTATTCTAGTAGGTAGTTTTCTTGCCTGGATTTCAACTTCATATTTTGTCGCCTCGGTATGTAGCTTTTTGGATATCTATTCTTACAGTTTCTCTTTGCTGTTTTTTGTTTTGTTTTTTGGGTTTTTTTTAGGTTAGCTTTTGTAAATCTTTCTTTTGCCTGCCAAATATGACAGTCAGCCAAGGATTTGGGAAAGTATGGAGCTCATTGTTTCCATGGATTCCTTTTTTCTAGGGATTTTCCTGAATTTTCCAGTTGTTCCGACAAGTTTTGGCTCTGTACACCTAAAACTTCAAGCCTGTCCAGCTTTAGCTTTCTGAAACTTCAGCTACACGCAGTTGTGGAATGTGCTCAGTTTAGCAAACTTTCCAACTCATAGTTCTGGTTCCTCATGGCTAAATCTTTCTTAAATATATTTCTTTTTGGTTTTTGCCTGTATTTTTGATGGGCCCTCAGGAGTCTCCTCCATGCTTGTGTAGTTTCACTGTTAGCTAGGGATTTGGGCTCTTTATACTCTCAATTATTTCCAAGATTTTTCCCTTTAAATTTCTAGCGGCTTTCCCAGCCCTGGATTCTGAGGGCACCTTTATAGTAACTTTTATCTGCGCAGCCATAGTCATGAAAATTGGGCCAGTAAACAACAAACTTCATTCATTACCATACCACCTTCCTTGCCTTTTTTTTTTTTTAAAGTAGGTTCCATGCTCAGTTTGGAGTCCAAAGTGAGGCTTGAACTCATGACCCTGAGATTAAGACCTGAACTGAGATCAAGAGTTGGATACTCAACTGACTGAGCCACCCATGTACCCTTGATTTATTCCCTTCTTATTGCAGTCCTGTTAAAGTTAGATATTCCTCCAGTTTCTGTTTACCTTCTAGATACTTTCCAGTACCTTTAAATAATATTTAAAATTTCTTACTTACTCTTTTATGTTTATTATCTGTGAGGTTTATGCGATCGCTCACTTCTCCACTATTACAGGAAGTTTAGGGCCTTTTTTATTTAATATTTTATTTATTCATGAGAGACACAGAGAGAGAGGCAGAGACATAGACAGAAGGTGAAGCAGGCTCCCTGCGGGGAGCCCAATATGGGACTCCATCCCCAGATCCCGGGATCACGACCTGAGCTGAGGGCAGACGCTCAACTGCTGAGCCTCCAAGGCGTCCCTTAGGGCCTTGAATAACCACAAATTTGTTATTCTTAATGCTTCTTGTTGCAGTTCTTTTAAAATTAAATTCTTCTCTAGCGTGGGTCTGCTTTTTGTGTGCTTTCCCGGGTCTTTATGTTTTTTGTTTTTAAAATTTTACCTAATAGTTTATAGTTACCTGTGGGAGTTAACAGGTACTTTCCCAGTACTAGAAGTTGCAAGGCCTAAAATAGGTGTAAGTAGATAATTTTTTTTTTTTTAGATTTTATTTATTCAGGAGAGACACAGAGAGAAAGAGAGGCAGAGACAGAAGCAGGCTCAGTGCAGGAGGCCTGATGTGGGACTTGATCCCAGGACCCCAGGATCACGCCCTGAGGAGAAGGCAGATGCTCAACTGCTGATCCTCCAAGGCGTCCCTGTAAGTAGATAATTTTAAGAACAAGATCATTGAATGCCCTAGTTTATAAACTGCTTGACTTGACTATAAAAGACAAGTACAGTATATTTGAAAGAACTGATGCCTAGGATGCCTGGGTGGCTCAGTGGTTGAGCATCTGCCTTTGGCTCAGGGTGTGATCCCAGGATCCTGGGATTGAGTCCCACATGGAGCTCCCTGCAGGGAGCCTGCTTCTCCCTCTGCCTGTGTCTCTGCCTCTCTCTGTGTGTCTCTCGTGAAAAAATAAATAAAATATTTTTTTTTAAAAAAAGAAGAAACAACGGATGCCCATATTAAATTCTCACAAATATTATTTATCTTGTGCTTGAAGAGTCTGTAACTCTGTTTTAGTAGTTAATGTCAACATCAACTACTTGTTATTATTTTCTTAACATTTGCTTGAATCTCTTCATTGTAATACGTACTTGGTTATTTGGTATTGTCAAAGTCAGTATCTAATAATTCTCCCCAAATTTAACTATTTAACTTCAGCCCTTATATCTAGCCCTTATATCTAGCCCTGTATAGGTACAGGACCAAATAATGCCAGTTGGCTCGTTCCCTAAGCTTTAGGGGGCTTCATTATTCCTTGTTATTTAGTGACAAATATGTGCAAGGCAATGAGATCCAGCCTCATCAGAAATGCAGACCTTGGACTTTATCCTTTATAACATTTTCTAAGAGGTGTTTTTCAACAATTATGATAATTATTTGCTCATTGATACTTACTAGCACACTGGTTTCATGAGCAAGGATATATTAATTGTCCAACTCAAACTTTTGTTGTATGGCAGTTTTCTTTTCCCAAAGAATTGAGTGAGATATTGTTATTGAATGGTCATACTATTTTTATTGCATAGAAAAAAGATTATTGACTTAAAATAACTTCAATAGAGAAAATAATATTTTGTTGTACAGGTGCAGTTATTAGCAAGAAAAATTATCTACTCATATTTAAATCTGCTGGTGAATTTGAAGAATGACCTGGCTCTGGCTCATATTCTCAATATTCCTGATAGAGGACTTGGAAGAGAAGCCTTCACTGATTTGAAACATGCTGCTCAAGAGAAAAAGATGTCTATCTTTTTGGTATGGACATGTTAAATTTTCAGGATGTTTTAAATTAAAGATTCTTATGACAGTAGATACAAGTACCTTCATATAGAATTCTTTTTTTTAAATAATAAATTTATTTTTTATTGCTGTTCAATTTACCAACATACAGAATAACACCCAGTGCTCATCCCGTCAAGTGCCCCCCTCAGTGCCCATCACCCAGTCACCCCCACCCCCTGCCCTCCTCCCCTTCCACCACCCCTAGTTCGTTTCCCAGAGTTAGGAGTCTTCCATGTTCTGTCTCCCTTTCTGATATTTCCTACCCATTTCTTCTCCCTTCCCTTCTATTCCCTTTCACTATTATTTATATTCCCCAAATGAATGAGACCATATAATGTTTGTCCTTCTCCGATTGACTTATTTTACTCAGTATAATACCCTCCAGTTCCATCCACGTCGAAGCAAATGGTGGGTATTTGTCGTTTCTAATGGCTGAGGAATATTCCATTGTATACATAAACCACATCTTCTTTATCCCTTCATCTTTCGATAGGCACCGAGGCTCCTTCCACAGTTTGGCTATTGTGGACATTGCTGCTAGAATCATCGGGGTGCAGGTGTCCCGACGTTTCATTGCATCTGTATCTTTGGGGTAAATCCCCAGCAGTGCAATTGCTGGGTCGTAGGGCAGGTCTATTTTTAACTCTTTGAGGAACCTCCACACAGTTTTCCAGAGTGGCTGCACCAGTTCACATTCCCACCAACAGTGTAAGAGGGTTCCCTTTTCTCCACATCCTCTCCAACATTTGTTTCCTGCCTTGTTAATTTTCCCCATTCTCACTGGTGTGAGGTGGTATCTCATTGTGGTTTTGATTTGTATTTCCCTGATGGCAAGTGATGCAGAGCATTTTCTCATATGCTTGTTGGCCATGTCTATGTCTTCCTCTGTGAGATTTCTGTTCATGTCTTTTGCCCATTGCATGATTGGATTGTTTGTTTCTTTGGTGTTGAGTTTAATAAGTTCTTTATAGATCTTAGAAACTAGCCCTTTATCTGATAGGTCATTTGCAAATATCTTCTCCCATTCTGTAGGTTGTCTTTTAGTTTTGTTGACTGTATCCTTTGCTGTGCAAAAGCTTCTTATCTTGATGAAGTCCCAATAGTTCATTTTTGCTTTTGTTTCTCTTGCCTTCAGGGATGTATCTTGCAAGAAGTTACTGTGGCCGAGTTCAAAAAGGGTGTTGCCTGTGTTCTCCTCTAGGATTTTGATGGAATCTTATCTCACATTTAGATCTTTCATCCATTTTGAGTTTATCTTTGTGTATGGTGCAAGAGAGTGGTCTAGAATTCTTTTAACTATGATAAAACAACTTTTAGATTGTGAATAGCTGTTTTTCCTTTGTATTTGAAAATCTATGGTATTTTTACTTATTACCATATTATTCAATTTGACAGGTGAGAATTTCTCTGAAGCAGTATTTTCCTACATGTGTTCTACAGAGTTGTATCTCTGTTAAATTCTCCTTTAATAAATATTTCCAAAGACAAAAGTCCCTGTTAAATGCTCCTTGAATAAATGTTTATTGGATATATGTAATGCATGTTTGTATATCAAAAGCTCTGGATCTGCTTAAATTAACCTTGTTACTTAATCTTTTGTTTCCTGAGTTATTTAACCATGGAACTTTCTTCTAAATTACTGAAATTTTATGGAATTTGTTTTAAGATACACTTTAGAACATATCATCTTTAATGGAGATGCTCTTAAGTGTAGCCACCATATATGTATTGTTATTTTTGTAAAGGCAGGGCCTTTTGAACTACACGTGATCAAATAATCCTAAAATGTGAAAGTTAGATAGGGTTTTGTGATTATTTAGTCTAAATATTTAGTTCATAAATAAAGAAGATAAAGCTTGGAAGAGTTGTATTAATTGCCCAACCTTGAATAAATCAACACAGTTGACACTGAAAAACCCCTTGGTTTCATATAAAAATTCCAAAAATTTCAATCTATAAAAGAATATATTCATACACTAATATTTTATAATTACTGACATACTCTTATGAATATATTCTTATGCTTTTAGCTTGTCACCTAACTTGGCTCCTCAGATTCTACTTGCATTACCATCACCCTTGCTGGCATGAATGTTGCATGGCCTCTGTTTCTTTATTATTTGCTTCCAAATCAAAGTGACATGAATCATAAAAAGTGCTTACTTTACCTGCATCTCTAGAAATAATATAAATGTACCTGGCTTCATAAAGTTTTATTTTTAACTTACTAAATCATTAAACATAACTAAATCATTTATTTTAATTCATAGGTGGCCACATCATTTATTAGAACACTACAGCTTGGAGGGAAGGGATATGCACCATCACCATCTGATCCTTTAAGGGCCCATGTAAAAGGACTGTTTAATTTCATTAACTTCATTGACAAATTAGATGAGATTCTTGGAGAAGTACCAAATCCAAGGTAATGACTTTTCATAAATTACAAATGTTTGGTATAAGTATGTCTTTAAAACTTTACTGAATCAGATGTAGATTTGAATATATGAGCTATTGAAATGACCAAGCATCAACAGTAGGGAAAAGATGAGTAAATTATAATCTCATGACCTTCCCCACTAAATTTCTGCCTCTCTTTGATTCTAAATTTTTGCCAAAGTCAAGTGGCATGTACTGTTTGTCTTTTTCTGGAAGAAAGATTTTTGAGGACTGGACATGACTGAATAGATAATTTCCTTAAAATTTCTATTTTAGCACTAAAGGAAGCCTATACCAAGAATGACTAAGGGAATTGACAAAGATGATGAAATCTTTATTCTATTTCTTGTTACTTTTCCCCCCTTTTCCTGGGTGTAAATCTTTGATTCATCTGGAATTTGTTTTTATATGATACTGAAAGTAAGAGATTCCTTATCAGATAGAGTCCCATTTATAATATATGCATATTGGATGATTAGTAATTTTGGTATTAATTTTTGAGGGGGGCAGAAGTGGGTTGTATATTTCAGCAATACGGTAGATCACTGTCACTTTGGTTGGTATGCTTTGGCAAGTACTAATAAAAACAGCTAGTACTTACTGAACACTTTTTAGGTGTCAGGCTCTTTATCGTGATTATCATTTGATCATTACAATAACCTAGAGAGAAAGAAACTGAAACACAGGGACTAAGTAATGTACCTCAGTCACATAATGTTATTAAGTAGCAAAGCTGGTATCTGAACTCAGTTCTGACCTTGGAACCCATTCTCTTAATCACTGCGTCTTATTTCATGAAACTTCTTTTCATTTTAAGATCCTAAGAATTTGTTTTCTGGATTTTCTTCTCAGTTGCATCCTTCTGTCTTTATGGATATCCATTATAACAAAGTAAATTTGGAAGAGAGTTTTGAATATGTTTTATAGGCAGTATCAGTGTCATCTTCTGAACTTTCAAGTAAGGTATTGGCTGGCTAATTCTTCTGAGATAGCCCATAACTTTAAAAATATATACTTTTAGAAAATATACTTTTAGCAAAGCAAATATAAGTATATTTTGTTAAAGTCAAATAATGAAAAAGTCCTTCACAGATTGACTAATTTTTTTTGTATTTGTTTTCATTTAGATGAAATTTTTATGCATCTATTTGTTGATTTTTTTTTTCCATTCGAGACCTTATTAACTTCTACCCTGGAAGATGGTAATTTGCCACTTACTCACACCTTCCTGGCACCCCCTTGTCTGCCTCCTGTTGCACACACACAACTTCTCTTCTTTCATCTTTCTAATACAGTTATACCACAATTTCAGATTAAAATATACATCAGAATTTATATTATTACGCATCTTGTAAATACTGCCTATACCTAAGCATTGTGATACGCTGTCACTATACTTCCTTTCTTGTACAAATTTTTGTCTTTCCTAGAGTTAATAATTATCTACTTTTTTCTTTTGCTTTAGTTCCTATATACTTATCATTGATTCTTTATTGAGTTTTTCAACAAAACTATTCATATTCTTATAGTTAGATTATGAATCAGTTCTGGCTTTTGCCCTTCAGGACATTCCTTCTGGAGAGTCCTCTATATTCCTCATTCAGGGTAGACTTTTGCTTGGTAAGCCTATTCCACAGTGGTAACCAGGAAGCTTCATTACTTTGTGAATTTCTTTGGCTCTGCCTTGTTTTTTGGATCTCAACTTTATTTTTAATTGGTAAATCTCTTATTTTTAAAAATAAAAAACAAAAGACAAAAAAAGAGAAAGCCATATGAGTAAAATATTTTATTTAAATTTGATTTGCCAACACAAACCATAATACCCAGTGCTAATCTCATCATCTCACATGGCTTTTTGAGAAAAAATAGGAAGCCAGTATCTTTATCTTTTTCTCACATTCGATTGTTTATGATCTTGTATCATTTCATGTCTAAGATTATTATATTTATTTTTTAAGATTATCTGCTTCCTTGGATGGTCTTTGTTTTATCTAAGTTGAATGTTTTCATTTGTTTTGCCCTCTTTCATGTTAGAGGTATTTCTAAAATGTGTGGTGATTCTGAACAGTCCTTTTATCATATTTAAGAATGAGACAATGGAAAGCTGATTAGTAGGTCTGTACAATGGATTTCATTATAGTATGGTAGCCATTTGGCTCTTTTGTTTGGGATTCTCCAAATGTTGGTAACTACAGATCTTTGCTTTGGGAATTACCCCAGAATGTCCAGAATGACATCCTTCAGTCTCTTTCGAAAAGCTGTTAGCCTAGCTAGTAGCATTCTGGAATTTGAGGTCAGATGGGGGTTGATGCTGAGTCTCTCTCAGTTCACTATGTAGACTTTTACTCAGTCATTCTGTCTTCAGTCCCTGTTGCCTTGAGGTCCAGAGCTGATCTGGCTTAGTTTCTCTAGAGTAATCTTGCTTTTTATGCTGAGGGGAGAGAATTGCACTGGCCTGACTGCTCAGCATAGGAGAGGAGATTTAGGTGTCTGAGTGTTTCTGATGTAGACTCTTAACCCTATCTTTATTGTAGCCATCAGTTTTGAAATCAGTTTCTGGGGTTGCTTCTTACTGGTGTCTCTTTTAGTAGTTACTTATATTTTAGCTTTCTCTGTTCTGAGTAGTCAGCTACCACATGTCCATCTGCTTTTCATTTTTCCATGCTTTCATTATATGTCTCTGCTGTCATCCGTGATTGTCGTCTCTAACATTCTCTTTCTTTGTGGATTTAAAACACTTGCCTCTTTCTCATTTTTAGTGCAATTTTAGGAGGGAGCAGATAAAAATGCTTATATTCAATCAAATATAGTTTGTTATAATTACATTCCCTTTGGAGGAATTTCTGGTAGGGATAAATTATCTACAGGATAGAAGTACATTTTAGAGGCATTTAGGATGAGAGAATAGACTTAAATTCTTTAATTTATCAGTGAATTATTTTGGATATCCTGTCTTGTCAGAGTAAGAAATTACTCTATGTTCTAGGGAAGACACTGAAGAAGTAGGTATCTAAATAGTGAATATGTTCATATGGGTGTCTAAAGAGTCCACTTGAGCAATCTTTCTTTTTCTTTTTTTTTTAATAAATTTATTTTTTATTGGTGTTCAATTTACCAAGATACAGAATAACACCCAGTGCTCATCCCATCAAGTGCCCCCCTCAGTGCCCGTCACCCAGTCACCCCCACCCCCCGCCCTCCTCCCCTTCCACCACCCCTAGTTCGTTTCCCAGAGTTAGGAGTCTTTATGTTCTGTCTCCCTTTCTGATCTTTCTTTTTTTCCCTTTATATCACCTTTATGGTGATTTTTGTATATTTTAAGTATATATTCATTTCATTTTTTAAAAGTTATTAAAAGCTAAAAACATATATCCTATTTATATAACAATAGAAGGATGTACAGAGGAAAGGACCATTGACCTAGTTCTTGGGAGCAGGAATAAAAGTGTCAGGAATGCTTACCTGGGTGGTTGTTAAAGTTCAGCTTCATCTTAAAGTATGAACTTGAAGGAGGAGTCAGGCAAACATGGAGAATGGGTGTGAAATGAAGCCCAGATGGGGGGTAGGGAGGATATTTCCTACAGTGGGGATAATATGGCTAACCTATTGGGACATTGTTTCATTGCTTATTCATTTTCTCTTATGATTTCAAAGTCTACTAGTACTTTTGCCATAGTCTATAAAAATTGTAAGAAAATAAAACAAACCAATTTCTCTGGTTTTGTCAATTCCTTCTTCCTTTTATAGCTGCGATTCTTGAAAAAAATGCTATTCTTTATTCCATTTCCCAATTTCTAATTATTTATTTTTTTAATAAATTTTTTATTAGTGTTCAATTTGCCAACATACAGAATAACACCCAGTGCTCATCCCATCAAGTGCCCCCCCTCAGTGCCTGTCACCCAGTCACCCCCATCCCCCACCCACCTCCCCTTCCACCACCCCTAGTTCGTTTCCCAGAGTTAGGAGTCTCTCATGTTCTGTCTCCCTCCCTGATATTTCCCACTCATTTTTTCTCCTTTCCCCTTTATTCCCTTTCACTATTTTTTATATTCCCCTAATGAATGAGACCATATAATGTTTGTCCTTCTCTGATTGACTTATTTCACTCAGCATAATACCCTCCAGTTCCATCCACGTCAAAGCAAATGGTGGGTATTTGTCGTTTCTAATGGCTGAGGAATATTCCATTGTATACATAAACCACATCTTCTTTATCCATTCATCTTTCGATGGACACCGAGGCTCCTTCCACAGTTTGGCTATTGTGGACATTGCTGCTAGAAACATCGGGGTGCAGGTGTCCCGACGTTTCATTGCATCTGTATCTTTGGGGTAAATCCCCAGCAGTGCAATTGCTGGGTCGTAGGGCAGATCTATTTTTAACTCTTTGAGGAACCTCCACACAGTTTTCCAGAGTGGCTGCACCAGTTCACATTCCCACCGACAGTGCAGGAGGGTTCCCCTTTCTCCGCATCCTCTCCAACATTTGTGGTTTCCTGCCTTGTTAATTTTCCCCATTCTCACTGGTGTGAGGTGGTATCTCATTGTGGTTTTGATTTGTATTTCCCTGATGGCAAGTGATGCAGAGCATTTTCTCATGTGCTTGTTGGCCATGTCTATGTCTTCCTCTGTGAGATTTCTGTTCATGTCTTTTGCCCATTGCATGATTGGATTGTTTGTTTCTTTGGTGTTGAGTTTAATAAGTTCTTTATAGATCTTAGAAACTAGCCCTTTATCTGATAGGTCATTTGCAAATATCTTCTCCCATTCTGTAGGTTGTCTTTTAGTTTTGTTGACTGTATCCTTTGCTGTGCAAAAGCTTCTTATCTTGATGAAGTCCCAATAGTTCATTTTTGCTTTTGTTTCTCTTGCCTTCAGGGATGTATCTTGCAAGAAGTTACTGTGGCCGAGTTCAAAAAGGGTGTTGCCTGTGTTCTCCTCTAGGATTTTGATGGAATCTTATCTCACATTTAGATCTTTCAT